CTTTTGTGGTCAGCGCATTCAGCCGTAGTGTGCCCGTCGTCCTGTCCCACTGAGTTTTGCGGGAGTATTCTGGACTCTCTTGTGTCGCCACCCTCATTCCTCCAGTCGTAATACGCGCTTGCGCGCGAAATAGAGTGGTGTGTGGCGTTGATATTGATTTATTTTGTTTTTTGTGTTAAAACATGGTGCTTTGCAGCACATCTTGCCTAGCTATATCCCTCCATGGGTATAACCTTATCATTGAGTTGCCACTAGTTGTGTTTCCGCGTCATCGGAATCACCTTTTGTCTCAATGGTGGTGTGGGGGGTCGAGTCGGGATATTCTTACAGCTCCTCTTGCCTTTGGATACACTTGTGAAGAGTCATATCTTTCGATTCATGATCCTAAATCATCAGCTATTAGTAACCTTAGGATTTGAGAATAGAATCTGTATAGATGATCTTCAGGGTGGGCTAGTGTTAAGGAGTGTTGCTGTATGGCACAGATAGGGTACACAGTCGGTCTAGATTAAGATGGGGGACGTCAGGAGGTATACCCTCTTAGGACGTACCCCATCGGGACTTAGCTATCTGCGTGCCCCCAGGTTGAGGGCAATCCGCCTCACCTCAGACCTGTAGCAGACCCGCTTCTGCAATAACGAGCAACCTTCCCATCTCAACGTGCTCGTGGACAAGAGTGTCTACGGCAGAATGTACATCTACTACATCTAGGAGGCAAGCCACCGTCGGGCGGGCATTCCTTTAAATTGCACTTCCGAAAGTGGTAGTCGAAGTTTGGGTTGTGAGACCCAATATTGTGGATTTTTTTTTATGCGTTGGGTTTTGGGATGCATCCTACTCTAAATGGTGTAGATGAGCGATTAACGTTGTCGTACGTGTCGGAGCACGAAATATTGCTGCGTGTAACACGACAACAAGATAAACGAAAAAAATAATCGAAAGTAAAATCTCCAATTTTCGGCGCCGTTATAGATGCCATGATTTCTACAGGGTTTTCCCAGGGTGGGTACCCCGCGAGGGTCACTGTGGCGGATAATTACAGGGTGTGGGATCAGTACCCTGGCAGGGTACCCACCTCCACAGTCGGGTCAACCCTGCAAGGTAGTCTTTCTGGGTGCCCTCGCCAGGGTGATTTCTCCTCACCCTGGCATGGTAGCGGAATGGCTACAGGTGTGTATAGAAGCAGTGCTTCCGTCTTTTCACCTCGCGCGGCCTGCCGTGCAGTGTCTGCCCGAATATGGAATACGATCTGTTTCTTCTGTTTCTGCTCGAATAACGGCTCTCTGGGTCTGATCGTTCTCTATCTCCCTCGCGAAGTCATCTATCTCGCTGGTGATCTGTGCGATTCTATCGTTGAGTTCAGCCACCGTGCTGGGTTCCGGCTCAAACCACTGCTGTTGCTGCTGCGGTCGTTGCTGGCGAGGAGGGCCACCCCGCAGCTGCGGTGCAGCTGCTGCGCAATTGCGCCGCATCCACGTCGTGTCGAGGAGGTCCCACCGCTGCGGACAAACGGTTGGCGCTGCTGCTGCTGCTGCCGGCTCTTTCCACCTCGAGCCATCTGCGGTTGCTGCGGCAGAAACCTCCCGCGGGGTACACCGGTCGCCCCGGTTGTCTAGTGGGTAGCCTCGCAGCCTGCTAAGGGCCAGGTCATGGGTTCGAGTCCCGGCAGAGAGAGTTTGTTTCTCACTAATAAAAAAAAGGGCGGTTTTAAACGGACCGACTTTTTGTCAAAGTTTTTGAAAGTGTCAAAAAAATGGAACCTGTATGTAGGCGTTTGTCCATTTTTTTCAAAAATATTTGGAACGAAGTTGGGCGCGAAAACTTTGCTCCACTTCGTTCCAACTTTTTGACAACCCTCTCAAAGTATTTGGAGCACTTTCCAAAGTACCCTTGCAGAGGCACGCGAGGGCTGCTGCGTCTGCACCACGAGTGCCCCTCACCGTAGAAAGTCAGCTAGGGTTGTGTGTGGGTCATGGCCGACCGTAGAAAGCGCGGCGCGCCTACAGATTCGAGCGGCTCTCCTCGCCCACGGGCACGCGCAATACAAAAAAAAAAAACGGCGGTCCGCCATGATGGCTTGCAGTTGTTGCTTCGCGTCCGCCGCTTTGTTTTTTCCTTTTCCCGGGGGGGTAGGAGCAGTGGTTGCCACCCCTCGCCGGCGGCCTGCTCCACCCTCGCTCTGAGTGTTGGTGGCGGCAGCGCCTCCCGTGGTAACATGAGTGTTCCCCGAGATGCCAGGCAGCAGCACTATCTTGCTGGAGAGCAAGCCTCCACCGCCTACGGCGGCACCGAGAGAGCCCGTCTGCTGGAATTTCGCCGGGGTTTTGGTCTGCCGGCCACGCTGGGTGGTCGTGATATCCATGTCGGTGTCCATGATGTCGTGTTTTCCGCGGTTTGTGTTGTGTCGTCT